TGCATGACCTCTTGCGATCCCGTCCCCCATCTTCTCGACCACCCGTCTGCTTGCACGGACGCCATCTTGCCCGCCCGTTCTCTTATGCACTCGCTCGCCCGTCTTGTTGCCATGTCGTCCGCTCGGATGCTCGCGAGCTCATGGTCTGTCGTCTCCTTTCGTGTTTGCATGCTGGGTGTGCAGGGTAGCGGGGGGCCGTAGGACGTGAACAGACCACCCCGCTCTTACGCAGGGTTGTCATGCGTACGTACTTCATGCTCAGCACGCATTCGGTGTGTCCGAGAGGAATAGAGGGCGGGACAATGAAGCAGGAGGGCGGTGGTAAGTCGGGAAGGTAGTGAGGTGTCGGAAAGGGCCATAGGACACAAATAGGACACGAGCAGACAACCCCACGGGACGCATTGCGTGCATCTGAGAGACGGTAGAACTGCGGGGGTGGGCTGGGATGGCGGTAGGGGAGCTGGGGCGGGTGACACACCTACTCGTGTCCTCTCTCGGCCGTTTGAGCCCCTTGTTTCCTTTTCTCTACCGTCGACTGCAGGACGCGCTGTCGTATTGTCCATGTCGCCGGTGGCCTTGGAACGCCCCGGGATCGTGGGCAGGGGCTGCGGTGACGTCCTAGGTGTATCGTCTGCGCAGACAGAGAAAAGACACGCACCCGAGTTTCGAGCTGTGGACACGTTTTGGGAAGAGCCGTTAGGGCTTGATGGCACGATGGGAGAAGAGTTTGATATGTACGAGCCGCAGCAGCGACGGGCGGAGAAAGCGCAGGCGTTCAGACAGGTTGTGATTCGAGTTGGATTCGAGCGATAAAACTTATGCTCACCTACAGAGCCCCCACCACCAACTACGCGCACACAGGACATTCAATTCCCTCCATGACGCCTGTCTAGCATGCGTGGGAGCACGAAATGCTCATGGCCAAGCTCGACTGAGACGGCGTATTCCTCTTGGGTCTATAGGGAGGTGGTGACGAATGTGGCTGCGAGTCGATGCATGCCGAGCGAGTGAAGGATCGATCAATGGGAGTCAACGGTTGGGATGGGCGAGAGAGAGCGCGAACACCGGAACGAGGGTCATGAGCAGTCGAAAGCAGCGTTGAGGAGAGGACCGCGGGAGACGATCGCACAGGCGCCCAAACCAGGTCTCTACAGTCTAAGTACTTACTGGCGCCTTGCATATTGCTTCAAGTCGTGGATTTGGTGCATGTGTAGTAGGTTCTCGCAGCTTCCGTGTTTGCTCAATTCTAGTAACTTAGCTTGTTCGCACGTCGCTCTACATAGCAAAGTGTAAGGCGGCCTGAAGCTTGTCAGACCGCCACGAGAACATTGCGAATGACAACGATGCGAGAGCATATATCAACACAACGACTGTGTACAGACACATCCTTGCGGTGATACTCCTACATATCCGGCCAGTCATCGGGGTCTACGACGAATATGCCCACATAAATATAACAGCCTATTGACTCGAAACTGAATACTCACGACTGAGGAGATGTAGCATCTCAAGCAACCACAATGGGTAGTTTGACAGGGATTCGCGCAGTCGCATCTTAATTCAATGTACACATTGCAATGCATTAGCATTAGATGAGACTCAGTGCAGAAATGACTCACTTCGCGTTTCCAGGCACGCCGCAACTGCTGGGAGTACGGGTGGAACCGAGGGGACGTCGTCGTAAATGTCAACTGTGCTTTCGGCATACTAAGCGGACTATGCAATGGGTGTTGTCGTGTTGCAGGTTCTGCGAATGTCAAACTCCTGCTCTTGTACTCACGCAGCTATAGCACAGTGTCGTAAGCTCAGGCACGTCTTCTAGGGCTCAGCAAGACAGCAATGAGGTTGTACTTCGTTGGTTCTCAGCGCCGTGATCGATGTTCGTGTCTGCGTGGATGATTACATGTATCCGTGCTGCACGTAAAATTTTAAAACTGGTTCCTTGCTTAGCGGGCGCGATCGCGAGCGAGCGAGAACGCCGCAGGCTTCTCCGGTAACGCATGCCTGAGTTCGATGCAACGGAGTTCGTCAATATGGGCAAGCCGCGGGACAAGTGGTACGGATTTACCTGTAGCATGCAGGTGGCGCCCGCGGATCGACTGGAGTAACGAGAGATTTGTCAGTGTAATTCGGGCACAGAAGACATGAGCCACGAGAATGACTGACCTTAGCTGTAGGTGGTTCGAGGGAAGGTTGCACCATACGTATATACCTGTCATGTATGATGTAAAGGTAGACACTAGATCTTCTCGGCTTACCACTGTGGTTGTCAATGAGGCTCTGCCTCCACCACGTGCTCGCCTGGGGTGCTGGCATGCCTACCATGAGGCAAGTCATTTTAGGAGCTTCGGATACTGCACTCACTACCCGCGAGATGTATCGTTCGCGCAAGCACGCCCAACTGCAACCGCAGGCTCTCGCTACGAGGGCGCAGACAAGTGGCCTAGCATTAGAAGAACGTGAGTCTGCCTCTCGCTGTCACAGAACCAATTGAATCACATACTGTACGCGCAATGCTATTGTACAACCGCAATTTGGATCAGGATCCCCAACCAGATCGAATCGCGCATCAGTGCAAAGAAGGGTCGACGCTCCAAGGAATTGCATTGACAAGTTGCGGCGTCTTGGGGCGGCCTGCGAACACGTCAACGCGAACGCGTTTTTCAGTGCCGCGTCGAGATGCGGGGACTTGCCAGAAGACCTGTGAATGACAGCCCCGAAGTCAGCGGCGGTCGTTTGTACACGAGAAGGCAGTGGTTAAAGCGGCGGAACAAGGAGAACTGCGGCAACAGGACAGCAACGTGTACCACCCCTTTTCTAGTGTCGCCTGACGTAGAGACCGGCGAGACAGGAATGCCCTATTGTTACGTACCTCTGTCCGTGGAGCATTTCTGCTCGGCCTTTTGACTCATTACGTGTTCATCTCTTTCCTCTCGCGTATCCTCGCCTTCTCCTCGCCCTCCGAGGCTGTCGGTGGTTGTTGCTTCATGGCAGACCTGTCAATCAAGTCCATGCTCTCGCTGTCGATGCAAGTACGAGAGTGAAGGAGTAGACCGTGAGACGGAAGACGAGGTTGCGGACGAGCAGCCCGGAGCCGAGGCCGCTGACCCTGAAGCCACGCAGAGGTGGCAGGAACGTGAGCGGGCGTGACTGACACAGAGGCGATGGAGTTGACTTGCGGCGCGTCACCGCAATTGACGGGTGGCCGACAGCATCAGCCACTCGGGTTTGATGGAGAATCTATCCATTCGATTCGGTACTTCACTCGAGGTCGGACGGTTTATCATCAAGGAATGAGAGGAGGTTAAGGCTGCACGGATACATTGTCGGCATACCGTACAGAGTAGCAACCGCAAAGTATGTCGCCATTGTTCCGTCCCGCTCAGATGCAGCGAGCGGCAGGGATATGTGCTTACGTGTAGCTCCTGAGTCAGAAAACTTCAGCGAGCGCATCACAATAGCTGAGCGATGAATACGTAGAGGACTGGGTTATGAAACGCATATGAGTATATGGGGCAGAGTACGGACAAGAACACGTACCGGTGTTCCCGCGAACGAGTGCATCGCCGTGGCGATTGGTGAGCGCGTCGCTGACGTGCTACTCGGTTTGCTCACGGACGGTATTCATATACCTGTCCGAGTACGAGAGCAGGCCTGGCCGGAAGGTCAGTGGTCGCAGGGTGGTAGACGAGAGAAAGATGCGACTTACTGTAGTAGTCGACGACAAAAGCGGGGCAGACACCGACGTGTTTCCTACGTTCGAGGAAGTCTGAAGGCGAGGTGAGCCCAAGCTACCACTCCTGTGCATGCCACAATCTGCAATCGGTTTTCCGGTTAGCCGTCGAGTACTAGTCACCTGCAATGATGCAGCTTACCTCACCACGCCGAATATCTTCGTTGAGAGCGGTTTGCAGTGGAGAAAGCGATACGGCAGCACGTCATGACTTGGGAGGTGAACTGGACACGAGTTGGCAGACAGCGATGCGTGTGGATACAACTGCGAGCGGGGACATTTGGACAGATCGAGAGGCAGTGTTGCGGATGGCCGACAGCATCAGCAACTCGGGGTTTGATGGGAAATCTGTGAATTCAATTGAATACCTCACTCGAGGTCGACTGATTCACCACACGTACAAGATGAGAACGGTCTATGAATACGCCGTTCATATAGAGAGATGCAATTGGAAGACATACCGCCGGTGTTCCGTCCTGCTGAGATGCGGCGAACGGCAATGGTGAATGTCCGGGCGTCACTGAAGAGTCATAACGCTTTGACGAGCACATCAAAGCAACCCATGGGGGCGGATGTGTAAGGGACTGGAGCGTTGAGGGGGCATGAGCGCATCGGAGACAGAGTAAAGACGAGAGCACGTACCGGTGTTCCCGCGAATGAACGAATCACCATAGCAACGGGTGATCATACCGCTGACGTGCTCCTCGGTCTGCTCGAGGGCGCTGCTCATGTAAATGTCGAGGTACAAGAGCACGCCTGGCCGGGAGGTTAGAGGCTGAGGACGCGACGGTCAAATGGAAGACGCGACGTACCATATTAGCCGACGATGCCAGCCCACGCCGTCCGTGAGGTTGAGGACGATGCACACGTCGACGACGCGCTTGAGGAGGTCGACAGACGAGCCCGACGCAGCTGGTGAAGGCGGTGGTGGCGGGAGGTCGAGGACGAGAGTAAACACGTGAGGGCAGCAGGTGGGCGCGTTTGATCGACGGATGCGCGCGTCGCCGTCGACGGGCGCAGCGCACTCGGGTCTCTGTGCGCTCGCCCCATCTGCTCTGCCCGTCATGTCCGACGCCCATATAACACCCCACGCCGTGCCGCAAGCCCTGTGCCCGCCCAGCACGCCCCGACGCTCGCGACGACGACCGCTGGCTCGCCGACGACCTCTCCCCGGAACAGGCCCACCCGCGCGCGGACTGGCCCACTGACTCTGGCGACTCGGAGGACGCGCACCTCGTCTGCACGGGAGTAAGCCCCTTTCCCGACCATGCCGCCGCCAGAGCTCCTTCCTGTGTCTCAGTACCCCGAGGTTATCGACATCAGCTGGAGGCACAACCTCCGCTATGACCCACGTCTCGGCGACGAAGACGAGGATGAAGCCGCATATGGCTCCTACCACGTTCCCCGCGACATCCCGCCTCTCCGTCATGTCCGTATCGAGACGCCTTCTTGGGGCCCCGGAGGCTCGCAGGGCCGGTCCTCGCCCAGCGACACTGAGAAGCAACCTCAGCGGCGCGAAAGACGGTCCTGCGGCCAGCACATGAATGCACTCCGCCAGACTGCCGCCAGGTACTTCCCTATCGACCTCGCGTGGATCCCAGCCAACTTCTCCTGGCCGAAGATCAAGCCTATCGTCCGTAGCTTCGTCATGGCTTTTATATCAGTCGTCTTCATGGTCCTAAGCCCAGTCGAGGACGTCACAGGCCAGGTGAGTATTCGCCATATGATGCATGTACACAAAGTGACAACCCTTTCGTGCCAAGGCTTCATTCCTCTTTCTAGTTGGTACGTCTGTCTTGTCTTGCATCTTCTATGGCTCTCACACCACGTTCAGCCGCATTCCTCGACCCACCCGCCGATCCCTTCATTTCCGTTCTCGAGCGCGAGTTACTCTTTGCGCTCTGTGTCACGGTTGGCTGGGCGTGAGTCTCTCGCCTTTCAAACAACCTCGCCCTGACGTTGCATAGCTGGTCTTGTCTAGGTATATTCTTCGCGCACCTGGCCCGCCACCATACCGACTACAACATTACGCAGACGGAGGCACTCTCGGGACAATACATCGAGGCTGGCCCGACCGTCATCTCCGCCATATGGGTGTTCCTCGGCGTGACTTTCTTCCTCTTTATCAAGGCCAAGAAAGGATCGGGCCCCTACCTCATTCCCTCTGTTTTCGGTGCGGTCGTCATCGACATCTCCTTCATCACCGATGTCCTCTTCCCCTACCCATACTATACTGTTGGTAGGGTGATTGTCCTTCCACTCGTGCTCCACTGTGGGCTCTGCATCCTGGCGAGCGCGACCATCTTCCCCAGCACGATCACCACACAGTACGCGAGTGCCCTTGCACGCTCGCTCGAGCCACTTGAAGCTGCGCTCCGCGAGCATCGCACCGTACTTAAGCTCCCTCCCTTCGGCTCCGACTTCTCCTCGACGGTCCAGAAGATCACCGGTCTTGTCACCAAGTCCGAAGGAGGACTTGGTCCTGCCGCTGCGGCGTTGCGTCTTGTAAAGAACGACGTCATCTGGGGTCGATTCGCACCAGCAGATATCGGGCATATGCAAGAGTTCGGGCGCCGCCTAGTTGTGCGCGCAAACGGACTCGGGATCTTCTTTACCCTCATCGACCCGACGCGTGAGCGGTTCCCAGTCACACCTCTTCCCAGCAAACCGAACACACCAGTCATGACCCCTGTGGCCTCGTGCGGACAGTCACTCTCGCAACCTGGCACGCCTGCACTCGGCTCAAACTCACCCGACCCACGATCTGATCCCGACTCAGTCGCCTGGGGTCGCAGCCCGCCGCCTTCCCGTCCCCGGAGCCCTACACCTAGCGCTGTGGACACCAAAGAGCGTGGACGGCTTCGACACCGGACCGGTCGGTACAAGACCAATCCGAGCGGCTCCCTATCCTCTCTCCGTTTATCCATCAGCCGACACCTTCACCTACGACACCGGCAGCCTGATAGCGAAGAAGACGGCCAAAATCAAAGACTGCACTTCTCCCTCCTCCACCTCGCCCATTCGCTCTCAGTTCCTCACGCGAGCGCGCCCGTCGGCGAGACGGCCGTCGCGGTCTTCGAGAGTCAACGGTACCTCGCGCTCGAGGCGACGCGGCTGAGCCACCCGGACAGCCCGGAGGCGACGGAGACGTTCGTTTACCTCCTCAGGGAGAGCTGCGATGACCTTTTGGGCGCGTGTGCGGACGCGGTGCGCGAGGCGAGGGGGTGGGTCGGAAGTGTGCGGAATGGGTGGTTCGAGGGGAGGAAGAGCGCGGAGCAGAGGAGGTTGGACACGAAGGCGAGAATGTTGGAAGTGAGGTACAAGGTGGACAGTGCACTGAACCGGTTCCGGAAGGATTTCAGGTGTGTGGCCTGAGTGACAGGGTCGAAAAAGGTGGCACTGATTCGGGGTTCGTAGGCATAAGGTCCTCGACCCTTACCGTTCAGCGTTCGACCCCGCCCGCGTTGGTTCACCTGGTGCGGATGCGACTGCCGAGCCGCCTCCTCACCGATATCTCTTCCACTGCTACGTATACCAGTACCATCTCATCCAGTTCGCAACCGTGGCTATAGAAATGGTACGTCGTGTTTGACAGCTCAGGGTCATACATGTAGCACTGACCGGATTATACTGCAGATCGACGCGATCACGTCGCTGGAGGAAGACAAGAAGAGGCCTCGCTGTGGGGCCCGTTTATGCCCGTGAAATTCAAGAAGGTCTTCTTGAACTGGGGCGGGAGCCAATACGACGCAACGGTCGAAACGGAAGGCAACGACGATGAGGATCCAGGTATGGCTCCACCGACATGCGATGCTGACTCGGCTCTGATATGTCTTCACTCGGTTGCTAGACACCATCCCCGGTATGCAGACCGACTGGGACGAAGACTTGGGCCAGCCGTCTCGGAGAGACCCCGACGCACTCCCGCCGAACACTCCCCTCGAGCACGTCATGTCGTGGTTCCACACTCTGCTTATGGGTCTCACGGGCGGGAACATGCTCTTCGCTCTCAAAGCGGGCACGCTCACCGTCCTCCTCTGCCTCCCGAACTTCCTCAAGCATACAGCACACTTCGCATACGAAGAGCGATTCGTCTGGGGCATCTTCATGGGCCAACTGACACTGGCGCGATTCAGGGGCGACACGACGTTTGCGCTGTTCGCGCGTCTGCTGTGTACGCTTCTCGGCGGCCTGACAGGCTTGGTAATGTGGTACATCTCCGCGCAGAAGGGCATCGGCAACGCCTACGGCTACACGGCTGTCATTGCCTTCTGTACGCCCTTTTTCTACTACGGACGACTGTATTGGCCGGGCCCGCGATGACGAACATCATCTACTTCGTCACGACCTGCATCGTCCTCGGATTCTCCTGGCAGAATGCGCACTTCGCCGCGATCTTCCACTTCTACGGCTGGTCGCTCGCGTGGCGACGGTTTGTGCTCGTCTGCGCGGGCGTCACAGCCGCGTTCATCTTCAGCCTGCTTCCGCCGAGCACGACGCTGCGCAAGTACCAGCGAACGATGCTGAGCACGACGACGGCTGAGCTAGGCAGCGTCTACTGCTCGATCGTCAGCTTTGCGAACACGAGAGGGCGGCACGACGTCAACCGCGGGGAGATCGTGCAGGCGTTGATCGCCATCCGGATGAAGCTGAAGCGGTCGGTCATGTTGAAGACGAACATCATCTACGAGGTAAGTAACCGCGGCTTGTATTGAATGGTCGAAACTAAGCTGACCTCTATCGCTAGTTTTCATTGCGAGGCAAGTGGCCGGCGCAGCGTTACCAGCGGATACTGGAGCTGCAGATGTAAGTTGATGATCACGCCATCCTTCCCTCGAAGCTGGGCTGATTGAGGTCTAGGCAAATCGCGTTTTTGCTCTCCCATCTCATGTCAGTCGTAGAGCATCTCGACCCCGCTTGGTCGCGAGCGTTCCTTCGACGCACGCGTCTGCTCGATGCTGATTTCCAGGGCGATGTACTCGCGGTGATCAGTGAGTGCTTGAAGTAATGCGATGCTTACTCGTGATTTACATCGCGTCTTAGGCATGATATCGACGGCGCTTCGTACTGGAACACCTCTTCCGCAAGTGACGCCGTGTCCGCTGGTCGATCGGTTCATGGTCTACTCGCACGGTCTGAACGTGATACGGCAGGAAGAAGACGACGACTACGGCTTGCCGCGGACGATGACCATCGACACGCTGGAGAACGAACAGTACCTGTACGTGGTCCCTTTGATGTGCGCAAGAGGTATGCTTACTTGCTATCGATAGGTCGTTCGCGGTCGGTGTGACGACCGCGTTCGGTATCATCCTCCGCCTCGACAAACTGATGGTGGCTGCGAAGGAGCTCGTCGGCGAGCAGTACCACATCCACGGGATCGGCGTCCCCGCGGAGGCAAGAGGGTATATGGAGAACAGTGAAGCAGAGAAGCTCGGGAAAGAAGTTTGACGAAGTAGAATGAGTAAGCCAAGGTATGTACGATAGCTCTGGCAGGACGCTGTAGCCCTGTATGTACAGGATGGAAACGACGTATTGTAGGGCTCGTTCGTTTATTGCGTATATTGTTATTCTAATTGTTCCCATTCGACGCACTACTATGTGATGTACCCACGAAACCGTGAACTAGGGTCGTGCCGTGGGTACATTGGACGTCAGAGTCACTGTAGCACGTTCAGAGTATGCGATCTCGCTAGAATCGAATTACACATACCGTCAACGAAAGCACAGTACTCTCGACGTCGACGGGCACACGGCCTTCGTTAGCGACGACGCATCTACGCTCGCCCAGCCTGCGATGCTTCCTTGTCTCTTCGCCAATATGGATGCTTCACTGCTTTCATTGACACCGTCCTTTGCCTCTGGTCTCCCGTCGCTGATGCATACGATCCTAGATGCTGCTGCGCCACGCGTCTTGCGGTGCCCCAGTGTATGCGCCAGTTCTCGAGAAGTCCACCATGGCACCAGGGAGCAGAAAGCGAACTATATATCCAGAGTAAGTATCCGTAGATTACACCGCCCGTACCGTCACATCAACTGAACGTGGTCTGGTCTAGTCTGTAGTACGAGAGATCGACGAAATATGCACATCAACCGGCAAGGCGCACCGCAGGCGACCGCAGCGCTCCAAAGCCCAAGCGTGGCCCGCTCACCAAACGAGCACCGCCGCCCCGAGCACGACAGCACCGACCGCGCCCCACGCGCCGCCCGCCGGCCCAAGGCGGACGGCAGCGTTGACGCCCGGCGCGCCGACCTGGACCCAGTCCCTCCACGCGGCGTCGAGCTCGACGACGAAGGCCTGGCCCTCGGGGGAGCTCCCGCCCTGGGCGGCCCAGTTGTAGGGGTCGACGACGGGGGTGAGCCACATCTGGGGGGAGAAGTGCGAGAGGCCGGCGCCGGCGTCCGCGCTCGGGGTGGGCAGGCTGTAGCTCGAGGTCGCGGTTGCGCTCTCGGAGGTGGCGGCCGAGGGGGAGGACGGGGCGGAGGCGGACTGCGAGGCGGTGGAGGCGCGGTGGGATGCGGTGAAGGATGTGGCGGGGCCGACGCCGTCGCCGGTGCCCCAGCTAGAGAAACTGCCTAGGCCCTTTGACTTGGCGTCGGCGGGGGCGGAGAGGGCCTTGCGGGACTTTTCTGCGTGGGGGACGTGGGAGTGGATGCCCTGGAGGAGGGCGAGGCGGTAGACGGTGCTGGCGAGGAGGGTGGTGGAGGAGGCGTCGAGGAAGGAGCTGCCGGTGTCGGTGGACTTTGTCTCGTTGGCGTAGTTGTGGAAGAGGGAGGAGTCGGAGTCCTGGGGCGGCGTGAGCATGTAGGGCGGGCACGGGGACGGTACTGCCAGGTAGCGGTACATGCCGTCGTGGATCTCGAGGATCCAGCTCGTGAGGTCGGCCATCTCGGCGTCCATGCTGCTGGCCCACGGCGAGCGCTGGATCGTGGCGAGGACGCGGGTCATGCCGGCTGCGGCCCACGCGTTCCCTAAACAGGTGGCGTCAGCAGTGCATTGGGGGAGACTCGCGACAGCGATGGTGCGCGGCCGGACGTCTGCTCTGCCCACACGCGCACACAGCGGCAAGACCGACTCACCTGTCGACCAGAAGCCCGGGTCGACATTCGTGTGCCCCATCAGGATGTGCCGCCAGAGGCCCTCGTCGTCGTCGAAAAGGTGGGATCGGTATAGCTTGATCTGCGAGCACGAAAGTTAGCGGAGGTGCGCGGGAAGATCGGGGAGGACACAGCAACGCGACGCGTTCGAGGGCACGTGGGGCGCGTCGGACATGTCCTCTACAGCTCGGGCCTCACACCATCCACATGCTCGCTCGCCGCGCTCCTCCTCCCTGGCCAGGAGGCGACAGGAGGCGACTCACCTGGGTATAAGCCTCCTGCAGGAGGGACTGGTTGGCGGAGAGGACGCCGTAGTATGCGAGGAAGGGGGGCACCATGTACGTGAAGTCGGCCCTGTACGCGTCGTCCGTTGATCAGCAGATGTCGCGAACGAGAGACACGGATAGACGTGACGGTGGTCCAAGCCCAAATCGTGCGACAAGACAGGGGGCGGCGAGAACGCGAACGGCTACTCACCAGAGCTGGACTTGCTCGACGCGGTGGCTGATCGCGCCGTCGTCGGTGCGGGGCACGACGGTGAGGAGGTACTCGAGTTGCTCGGCCGCGGCGCGCGCGTACGTGACGCCCCTGCCAAAGCTGACGCCGTGGGGGCTGCTTGCGTTCAGCGGGCGGTCGAGCTCGGGGTCGGGCGCGCCGGTCCAGTTGGCGAGGAGGATGGCGACGCCGAGGGAGGCGGGGTCGCCGGCGGCGGCGCCGTCGACGTACATGACAGGCTGGGGCCCGGTAGAGTTGGAGCGGTTCGCGGCGGCATTCTCCGCGATCTGGAGGACGGGTGCGAGGGCGGCGTAGGAGTAGGGGTCGGGGAGGGACGAGTTGCCGGCGGGCGGGGGGAGGGACGAGTTGAAGAAGACGGCGTAGGCGGGCGCGTCGGACTCGAGGAGGGCCTCGGACTCGGTGCCGAGTTCCCAGCTGAGGAGGGGTCAGCGTGAGCGCGGGACGGGGGAGCGAGGACGGACGTCTGCTGTGCTGCGAGCCAGAGGTTGTCTTTGACGGCGGCGAGCTGGGCGGCGGAGAGGTTCTGGGCGGCGGCGCGGGAAAGGAGGGAGGCGGCGGCGAGGACTGCGGTGAGGAGAGGGAGCGGAGACTGCGCGCGCATCGTGTGCACCGGCGGCGGGGCGGCGGCGAGGACGGCGGCGGCGGGGCGGATAAGTTATGGGGAGGACAGCCGTTCGAGGACGCCATGGCGTTGCGGACGACTTGGCGCACAGGCGCTGGCAGACGGTAGCCCGATCGTGGATCTGGAGCGATACCCTTTTGGGCGGAGCCTGTCTTCCCCGCATCTCGATCCATCGGGCCGTCTGTCCCTGTCCGTGCTGGCCCTGTGGCTGCGTGCTGGCGCACTGCTGGCTCCTCCCATCTACACACGCACACTCGACGGGTGCAGGCAAGTTACGGATATGCTGTACCACGTCTCTCTGAGTCTCGCCCGAACCCCTCGCTAACATCCTTCGCAACGTCTGCGTTGCCCTTGCCGGGACACAGCGCGCTTGATCGCACCTCGCCTCGCGGCTCCTCCGAGTCGTCCTCGCGCTCGCTCTTGCCAATCCAAGCCGCCTTTTCGGCGACCTCCACGCATCGTGAGTGTTCGCATCTGTCATCCCCATGCCCTGTGATCCCTGCTTCTCCTCGCCGCACTCTCGAACCCGGATGTTCTCCGTATGCACCCAGTATTGACACCGTGTATCTATCGTCGCTTCTCACTGCCGTATCGCTATGGACATGCGCGAACCACTGATACCCGGAGCTCCAGATTTGCAGGTATCCGTGCTTCTTCAAGGTCGTCCACTTTTCCACTTACAACTCTGCGCAGCGTGGCGAGGCGACCTCATGATCAACGAGCTGTATCTCTGCTCTACCAGTCGCAGGGGGACGTGTACCTAATTGTACGTCCATCAGCTTCCACTACGTGCATGTAACCAACACATTCCCTGTCGGTGTATATCTGTGTGTCGGACGAGGTCCTCGCAGCGCCCTGTCAGTCCCTGGAAGGTCGAGAACGCTGGGACCATTGTACGTACGTATCTATCATTCATTCACACGGAATGGGCTGTTCGTTTGTGTCCAGGCGTCCACCCCAAGGATCTGGTGACGAGTCGCTGTGAGTCCGATCGGAGCTGCGTGCGCTCAAGGTGCGGCTTTTGCACGAATGAATACGACGTCGAGCAGCGTTATACCTAGGTTTCCCCTAGACGAGGCGCTGTCTCTGCGGTCATGTGCTAGCTCAGTCCCGCTCTCATTTCTACACGGCTCGCGCCGACGTGCCACTGCATATCCGCAGAGCGTCGAGAAATGCTCGCCATTAATATTGCATCCTTGGTGTACATAATATGAGTCGTAAGACTCGGTGACGTATGATCGTCGTCTCAGCCACCACGCCACTACGATCGAACATCTCATCCGCTTGCAGATTGGCAAACGAACGACAGGGAAACCTTCCTAAGAGGCCACACATATCCATAAAGCTCTCGCATACCGGCTCTCGCATATCGGCCCTTCAAGAGCCTCACCACTTATCCGCGCTCAGCGCCGCAGCAGCGTACGGATGCTGCTCGAACCGCAATGGCTGGTCTAGCTCATACGGCACCAGCGGCAGTAGCTGCCAAAAACATGTGGCATGCTCTCGTCCAAGTTCGTCAACTGAAGGTCCCGCATAAGCGGGCGTTCCTCTTCCTCCAGCAGCTCATTCTCAAGCACGGCGCTCATGCATACTGTAAAGACACGATATCCGTGAAGGAAGTCTGAGACGGCCTCGACTTCTTCTGCTCGTCGCGGAGTCATGCCATCAAGATGGTCGACTTCCTGTCAGGCGCTGTCCCTATACGCAGCGCGACCAGAAGAAGGTCGAGCAGGGCTACGAGCTCTTCTTGCGCGACCTAGAGGAGGACGAGGAGATGCGGGGCGCGGTGAACCTGTACCAGGCGAAGGACGTCAAGCCGGGTGCGGGCTCGGGCTTGGCGGGCCAGTTTGCGATGGGTGTGGACGAGGGCGCACAGGATGAGACGGCGACTATTGCGCCGACGGAGGGCGACGAGGACGAGCCGGACTTTCCTGAAGTCGAGCTGGACGAGCTGCTGGAAGACTTCGACGTGATGACGCTGGAAGAACACGATGCATGAAGATACTCATCTGTCGTGGTCGTTGATTCTACACTGGTCATAGACATGCTGTGCGTGGTCGTACGCTAGACACAGGAAGTCAATGTCGAAACTGTTGTGTTGTGTTTGACAACTGAATTGTCAGTCCACAGTAGTATTTGATCCTCGGATCTGCACGATGTCTCCAGTTCGTCTCCTCTAGCGCTGCCTGTGCCCCGTTACGCATCAATGCGGCGGCCGGATCCTAGGGAGGAGAGGGGGAGAGGGCATGCGAATGGGAGCCGTCCCCGTACGGATGGATTTGAGGTCGGGCGACTCTTGCTGGTCAAGGACGATATCCATGTCAGGGATTCGGGGCAGTCGAAGCTTTGATGAGGCTCCGAGTCTCTTTATTCGTTTACTGTTGTTTCAAGGCCAGTAAGACAAACATAACGGATGAACGCGCAAACAAGTGTCGAACCGTGCATCCAGGCCCGTCACATCAACAGCTGCGCCTTCATAAACTCGTCGTGTGCCTTCGTGATCAGCCCTCCAGGAACCGTCCCCTTCGCCCAAACGAGGCTGGTATCGATCGCTAGCGGATATCTCGCTTCGTTCTCCTTCCCGCACCAGTCGAAGTCGACGAGCATCAAGCCCTTCTCGGTCCTAATCACGTTCGGTTCTCGAAGATCTCCGAAGACCAAGCCCGCGTTATGTAGCGCGTCCACCGCCGCTGAGAGTTTGTCAGCAGGTAGTGAACCTTCGCGTTCCTCGACCCAGTCCATCACCACAACCCACATATTTCCCACCTCGGGGACTTGCTCGCAGTACCACAACCGTGGCGCCAGATCCTTGTCAGCTAGGAGTTGATGACCCTCTTTCCCGTAGGCGGGCGTGAACTTGACGACAACGTCATGGGACCGTGACGCGTGGCCTTGCACTGTGTCCTTGTCCGCGATGTGCGTCGCAACGGCCTTGAATACGGCCCGCTCGTTGCGATCCGCGTTGATGTGTTTCGTATATTCCAGAGTAACCGTACCACCGGAGGGGAGCCGCGACGGGAATGTCTTGAAGTGAGGGCTGACAATTGAGAGAGGCAGGGACGCATCACCAGATGATTCCAGGTCCCCGTAGTAGCCGTCAATGTCGGGAAGGCAGCTTCTGATGTGACGCCGAATAGATGGTCCACTTTGCGAACCACTGTCTCGAGAGCTGGCTTCCCAGGCGTGAGGACGGGGCTCAGGCATATGTAGTCCGTCAGGGGTTGCCGTATGAAGCCATCCGCAAAGAGGGCGGCAGAAACCTGGGTGTAAGGACCAACCATACTAATGATGAACGCAGGACAGGACGACACTCTGCGCAGTGGTGCGTACTATACGGGGCTGTCAGCCAGCGGCCGTTGCCAGTATGACGTGAGACGGCTCACATTCGCCGAGGCGTTGATCGCGACGTAGAAACACTCGGCCTCTGCAGCCGGGTCACAACCACCCTCTCCAATCTCGTTCTGCAGTTCCATAATCAGGTGCACAGGATCTACCTTTCCCACAGAATGAGAGGAGTACATGAGACCGTCAGGCCGGACTTCCTTCCCGTCGACCACCATCACGATGGTTCCGAATGTTCTGTGGATCAGTTTCCTCATTGCGAACGTCAACGCCGCCTGTCGATCGGTCTCCGTGGTATAGAATGCGCGAGCCTGTGTCACGAATCGATAAGCAATGCTCAAGTCGCTGGGCGGATGTTCGGACGGTTCCGTCATTCTCTGCATGAACTTGGCGAAGAAGGGATGGTAGATCGCCGCAGATGGACCGAAGTCGTGTGGGCGTCCGTTGCGCACAGCATCTGGCCGGCTCGATTCCTGTGTAATGTGATATTTACTGAGCTTTGCACCGTCGGAAGGACTAGGACGGGTTCGCGCTTTTGCAGCACTATCCTCACCTGGTACGAGGTGAGTTATGACTCGGGAAGCGGATTGTTGGTTCACTTACGAGATGGTTAATGATGATGTTCTGGGATCGGAGATATATTTCGCGACATTGAGGAAGCAGGGGGTGTAATGGCTGTTGTTCTAAGCGTTACAGGTGGTGCTAGTGATGAACGGAGGTCACAGACGCACTGAGAACTACCACCACCTTGCTCATGTCCTTTCTCCAACTTTCCAACAAGCGGTGAAGGCCAATCGTCCCTCCGCCCTTCACAATATCTTGTTCTTGTTGTTCCAACTGTTGATACATTGGCATTGGCGAGCGAAGCGATAATGTGTCGGCGAGCTGCGGAGAAAGTATGATGAGTCAATGGTCATCCAAGCTCGCAGTCGCAACCCTTGCACCTGTGAAACCGTGGCTGTCATCTCGCTGCCTGTTGGGAAGTATGGGCGAGCATCGCTCTTGGCAGCCTCTGCCAAGTCGGAGACGTAGGGGTATTCGATCAAAGGCTGGTATGCGTAGCCAGATGTCAACAGGTACTGGTACGTTACCGCGGTGTCATTGGGAATGCGGCGCAGAACAGGAGAGACAAATTCGACATATTTGGCCGGAACAGACATGCGTTAGTGAGGGACCGCGCGCGTCCCGGTGGTGGTTGAAGGTGAAGATCGAAGGCCAAAAGCCAAGACTACGTTCCTGGGCCTGAGCGCTGAGCCTCGAGTGGTCCGGTCATCATCAATACGTACACACGTCTCCAACTTGTAGGCACGTGAATCTTCCGTAACTAGTATTACGAGGTTTCATTGGACAAGAACGCGAAGCATCACGGTCATCCATTCACGATTTCACGAGCATACCATACATGGTGGACCATTCCCTTCTCGCTGACCACACGCCTACCACGGATGCTGCGTGCCGTTGTACCTCCAGAACTTGCCCGAGTCGGCGGGGGTGAGGCGGGCGATGACGCCGAGGATGCCGGCGGCGCTCTCCGTGGTCTCGAGGACGGCGCCCTCGCCGCCGAGCGGGGTCTTGACCCACCCGGGATCCATGCAGATGCACGTAAAGTCTACGCGGGTCTTCGCCTGCTTGTACGTCTGTGCGGCGCACGTCGGTCGGCTGGGAGGAACGCAAAGAGGAGGGACGCACGAGCATGTTGAGGGCGCACTTGCTGATTGAGTAGCTCGTGCACTTGGGGCCGCAGTCGAGCCCGAGCGACGCGAGCCCGGTGGAGACGTTCACGATCGTCTTCTTGGAGCCGCGCAGGAGGAAGGGGTAGTAGAGCTCGCCGAGGAGGGCGGGTGCGCCGAGGTTGGTCTGGAGGACCTCGAGGAGTTGGGCGTAGTCGAAGTCGAAGGGCGAGTCGAAAGCGGGGTTCTGAGGTGCGGCCGTATGAGCCAGGGAAGAAGTAGTAGTGACAGGTGGGCTTACGATGGCCGCGTTGTTGTAGAGGTAGTCGAGCCCGCGGTCACCGAGTATGTCGCTCACGTACTTGACGGAGTCGCGCATCGACTGTTCACTGCCAACGTCGAGCGGGACGACGTGCACGCGGCCCATTTCGGACGCCTGAAGCTTGTGCAGGTCTGTAGCGGCTGCGGGAGTCCGGCAGGTGGCTATGATCTCGTTTGACAGAGAGGCAGCGAGGAGCTGGGTGGTAAGTTCGAGGCCGAGGCCGCGGTTTGCGCCGGTGATGAGCCAAACGGTGGACATGTTGAAGGGAATAAGTGTGCAAAGACATGGCAGAGACGGGCTTATATGGAGGGAGCACGACGGGAGGACGATGGCGGAGAGTGTCGAGAGTTGGTCAAGAGACTGCACACCCGGCTATTCCTCGGCAGAATAGCAGGCACGATCGCACGCGCGTGCTCTCTTTCTCCTCCTCCTCCTACCTGCCAAGGAGTATACATGCTGCCTGCTACTGCTGCTCTACTCCGTGCTATGTGCTACGGCCCGTCTGCGGCTGCTACCACACGACCTCCTCGCCGTCGTTGTTGAGGAACTTGCCCGAGCTCTTCCCCGTCGCCGTCGTTGCAAGCTTCAGCAGCCTGCCCACCGACTCCTCCACCTCCATCATCGCACCCGGTCCTCCCATGTCTGCCCTCGCCTCAGTCACAATCTCTCGCGCTGAGTTTTCTGCACAAACACACCTGTCTTAACCCACCCCGGGTCGACCACATAAGCGATCAAGTCTGGCCTCGTCTTTGCCTGTTTGTACATCTGCCCACCCGCAGCGATTTATGCACTAGTCAGCGACTCATGCACAGGAGGTACGCTTGAGGCACGCAACGAAACTCACGAGCATGTTCAGCGCCGTCTTGCTCACGCTGTACGTCGCATTCTTCGCCCCAAAGTCCAGCCCGATACTCGCCAGCCCGCTCGTCATGTTCACAATCACCTTCCGCCGGCCCTTCTCCAGCAACGGTAAGTACACCGTCCCCAGCAGCGCCGGCCCCGCCACGTTTGCCCGCAGCGTGTCTAGCAGCCCGTCGTACGAAAAGTTGAACGTAGAGTCGTCGCCCTCCGTCTAGCCCCCGATCAGCGGCCAGTACGACATGCAGAGGCAGCAGGACTCACGATGGCGGCGTTGTTGTACAGGTAGTCAAGTCCCTTCTCTCCGAGGATCCCCTCCACCTCCGGTACGCTCCCGCGGATGCTCGCCTCGCTGCTCACGTCTAGCGCGACGACGTGCAGCTGCCCCTTTGCGCTATCCTTCAGCGCGGTCAACTTTGATGCCCGCGCAGGATCGCGGCACGTCGCGACGACGATATTTCTTGGGTTGGAGACGAGTTGTCGGACGAGCTCAAGCCCGATTCCGCGCGAGGAGCTGCGAGTTGGACGACCATAAGAGTGAGTCGTAGTAGCAGGCCTGGTCTAGTATGTCGACTTACCCAGTGACGAGCCAGGTCGATATCTCAGCCATGATATCACTCACGCACGATCTTACTCTCGACCAAAGACGACGAGACTAACGTTCTCGATAAACCCATCCACCGCACATATATACCCTCGCCCTGCGCCTCTCGGTGCTCCGGATCGACTCCGTGGGCGAGGAGGCGCGTCACTTGATGCTCAGCGGCGAATCCTCGGTGCGTCCCCGCCCCGAAGTCCTATCGCCCCGACTTCCGCGTGCCGAAAGCTTATTCGGGAGGCGACGAGATCTGTGTTGCGCTGATTGTTGATAGAGTCGTGGGACGGAGAGGCCGCTCACCAGGACAGGGAGTTGAAGCTGGAGATCGTCTCGAGTGGCGCGCGTTGCTGAGTATGGTGTGGAGGTGCGCAGTCCTCCTCCATGCTCTCCGTACTCGCTTTTCCACCGACGCGATCCCACCCACCGTGCACTGAACCTCAATGTCTTCAGCCCGGCCTTTCTTCTTGTCCAACGCGATCACGTGACCGAGAAACCCTTTGTCCTTCGCGCGCCGTTGGCAGTGTCCAAGTGCGCGTGCGCGTACAAACCACTATATATCTCACCTACGAGTGTCGACTATGACGTCTACGTCATTTATGTCTCTGAACAGACGACAGTGCAAAGCAGGACCGTGCTCGACCGCCACCCCCGACAAATCCTTCTCAAGTCCACAGTCAACGCATAGGGGCTCTCCTGGGCGTGGCTAATGCATACCCCACAACACAGCCCCTTCATTATGCCTCCGCAAGACCCTCCCGGAGCAACGCCACAGCGCGCGTGGCCTTGCGCGCCGTTGCTTTGTCCTTCCTCGCTTGGCGACACGCTCCGTGGTGGCGCAGCCCCCGCACAAAGAGCTGCGCCACGCGCCCTGAATGCGAGGGCACGCTTTGGCTAGCGTGTCACATCCGTTTTGTGCTTTGCGCGGGGATGTGGGAAGCCTGGACGGTGGCCTTGCGTGCGCGGTGCTTGGACCTGGTGGCCGTGGCGGGTTCCGCCTTTATAGCTGCGTGCGGGTGGGGCTCGCGTCCCTTGTACTCTTGCTCTCGTTCTTGCTGTTCTGTTCGTGCTCTCTGCTCTCTCTGCTCTCGCCCCCGCCTTTCGTTCATCCCGATTGCGCCTCGCCGCCTCACTGTCCATTCCTCGTTCACACCCTGTGCTATCCGCGACCTCGACCTCGACATCCCCAAGCAACCGCCACAACCGTCCCACCGCGATGTTCACCAAGCTCGGCTCTCTCCTCGAACGCACCTTCAGCAACAAGCGCAGCCGAAGCCCCACCAAACGTAGCCCAGCCAAACCGAGCAGCCGCTCGCGCGCACGCGCCCTCTCCGAACCTGCCACCCCGCCGCGCGCCGCCACCGCCACCTCTGTGGCAAGCACCGCGCTCGCCTTCCCGCCCACCCCTTGCACGCCCACCCCCAATCACACCCCCAATCACATCCACAACCGCGCTCGCACCGCAGACGATGCCAACGTGCCCGTCCTCGACATCCGCGCGCCCTCCCCCGTGTCGGCGTCTGCACCTGTGTTCTTCGCGGATGCGGGCCGCGCACTGTCCCCGACGCCGACGAGGCGCGTGAGGTTCTCGAGCGAGTCGACGCTCGCGTCGGTCTGCACGACCCATTCCAGGGAGGCGTACGACCGCTCGCCGATCGTGGAGGTCCCCGCGGGGCTCGAGGGCAGCCCGAACAAGCGAGAGAGGAGGGGCGAGAGGGAGAGGGAGCGGGAGAGGGCGCGGGCGCCGAGAGGGGAAGTATTTCCGGTGTCGTTCTCCACGCCGAACTTGGGCGCGGGCTCGAGCCCCGGAAAGCAGGAGTGCAGGCGGGAGCGCAGGCCGTCTCTCCGCCTGCAGTCCGCGAGCCGTTCGTTCGTCGGGATGTCCATCGAGGAGGAGACTGAGGAGGAGGACCGCCCTCGGCCTGCCGCGCTGACGCCGCTGACGAGGTCCTACTGCGAGCGGGGGCGGAAGCGGCCTAAGCCACGTACGCGGCCCTCGACGGATTCCTCGCGTGCAATCTGTGGCGGGGTTGTGGGGCGCGGTGTGGACGGTCCCTTTGACGACGCGGACCTACCGTCGTACGCTGAAGCGCGGACCGCACACCCGCCCGTATACGGGACTCGCTTCTGGAATACGCCTCCGCGCGCAGCGCCTGGCGGCCCGCCCGGCGACTCCTTCCTCAGCCTCGACTATAGCGACGACGAAGACATCGACGAGGGTCTCCACACCGCCATGTTCGTCCACGGCCGGCGCGCCTCCGAACGCACCGCCTCTGCCGCGCGCACCGACGCGCTCTTCTTCACGCTCCAGCCCGCGGACGGCGACGGAGACGACGTCGACGAGGCAGGCTGGGAGGCGTACGGCCTCGCACAGACGGAGGGCAAGCGCGAGCGCGCACGGGAGCGACGGGAGCGCCGCGCGCTCCTGGCAGCGTTCCCGGAACCGCCCCGCTCGATGCCTACACCCTCGCCCACGCCCGCACCCAAGCTGGGCATGCTCAAGCACCGCGCGATCTCGGAGTGGGTCAAGGAGTCCACGGCGTCCGTGTCGGTCTCGTCGGTGTGCGAATCCGCGGCGTCCTCCGTGGAGGAGTCGCTCGGCACGGACTCGAGGCTGGGCCACGAGCACGGGCACGACCGCAGCGGGAACCCGAGCCCGCTCAGCTGGCAGCACGGGACAAGCACAGCGAACACGACCCCCGAGCTCACGCCGCCACGGGCGCAGCGCGCCAGGGGGAGGGGCGCGTGCGGTATGACCCGTACGTAGCCGCGAAGTCCTGCCCGACGCTGGTCAACCAGGGGGGTACCGGCTGGGGTCGATCGGAGTTGCCGGCGAAAGGGCGCAGGATGACGGGGAGGGAGAAGCTGCTGCCGCTTGTGCCGTATGAGGAGCTGGACCAACCATTTCGGTTCGAGCGGCATCCATATGCTGCGGCTGCGTTGAACGCGGAGAAGTGGTGAGGCCCTTGAGGGGCTGGTATGCGAGAGAGAGCTTAAGATATGATCTATGATATATGTATGGCCTCTTATGAAGGTTTCCTTGACGTTCGTTTGCCAATGTGCAGTAGTGTACATGCGTGCTGTATCTACTCGAGGTTATCGTTATAGCATCTGCACGCAGGTGATGAAACATTCGATCGTGAAGCTTGACCAGCAAGAGTCGCCCGAACTCAAATCCATCCGCACTCGGATGGCTCCCATTCGCATGTCCTCTCCCCCTCTCCTCCCTAGGATCCGGCCGCCGCATTGATGCGTAACGGGGCACAGGCAGCGCTAGAGGAGACGAACTGGAGACATCGTGCAGATCCGAGGATCAAATATTACTGTGGACTGACAATTCAGTGTCGGACACAATACAACAGTTTCGGCATTGACTTCCTGTGTCTAGCGTACAACTTCACGCATACATAGCCCGTCTATAACCAGTGTAGAGCCAGTGAACACAACAGATGAATATCATCATGCATCGTGTTCCTCCAGCGTCATCTCGTCGAAGTCTTCCAGCAGCTCGTCCAGCTTGACTTCAGGGAAGTCCGGCTCGTCCTCGTCGCCCTCCGTCGGCGCAATACTCGCCGTCTCGTCCTGTGCGCCCTCGTCCACATCCATCGCAGACTGACCCTGCCCCTTCCTCCTCGTCTTTCCGCCCGCCAAGCCCGAGCCCGCACCTGGCTTGACGTCCTTCGCCTGATACAGGTTCACCGCGCCCCGCATCTCCTCGTCCTCCTCGAGGTCGCGCAAGAAGAGCTCGTAGTCCTGCTCGACCTTCTTCTGGTCGCGCCCGCCCATGCGGCCCACGACGCCGCGGCCCGCGCCCGTCTCGCCCTCCTCGCCCGCCTCCATCGCGATACTCCGGAGCTTCCAGTTCCTCGGCTTGTTCTTCTTGCGCCGGTTCGGGTACGCCTTCTTGACGAGCACGACGTCGGGGACGCGGTGGGCGGGCAGCGCGGCGAAGTCGTCCGAGTTGAAGTTCGCGTGGGTGAGGAAGTAGCCGAGCGCGGCATCGCCGGGCTGGAGGATCCCGCCGAGGTGCGTGCGCGTGTGCAGGATCTGCGAGGACGCGCCGCCGTCCATCAGGTCGTCGTCGCCGCCCTTGCCCGAGGTGAAGGCGCCGCTGAGCGCGACTTGCGCGTCGGCGAGCACCCACTTGCCTCGGGTCTGGCCGGAGGGCTCGACGTCGAGGACGGTGAACTCGACAAGGTCGGACACGCCTGCCAGAGAGTCGAATGGCATGCGCCAGTACGATGCTACGGAGAGCTCAACGGACTGGAGGGTCGCGGGGTCGAGAAGATGCAGCGAGTTTCCAACGCGGGAGCAGAGTGCGAGGGGCGAGATGTTTGAAAGTGAGCGAGCGAGCTTTGAGGGGAGGGCGACGAGGTCGTCCTTGCACACTGGGACGATCTCGACGGAGTAGGTGTACTTGAAGTTCGCGGTGTTGGTGTGCGTGTCCGAGCTGAGCAGCTGCTCGCTCGCCTTGCTGCGTATAGGGACAACGCCTGACAGGAAATCGACCATCTTGATGGCATGACTCCGCGACGAGTAGAAGAAGTCGAGCCCGTCTCGGACTTCCTTCACGGATATCGTGTCTTTTTGAGCGCCGTGCTTGAGAATGAGCTGCTCGAGGAAGAGGAACGTCCGCTTATGCGGAACCTTCTGACGAACTTGGACGAGAGCCTTCCATGTGTTTTTGGCAGCTAGCTTTGTGCAGTCGGGGCACTGACCGTGCTGTACCAGGTACTCGATTTCGAAGACCTGCTCGAGGATCGTCGCAGTGAGGACCTCCTTTTGGATCGTAAGCGAGACGCGCAACCGCTTGCTGTGCGGCTCTGTCCAGATGAAGTGAGCGTCGGTCAATCGGACCTTGTTCAGGCCTTTCAGTTTGCGGAGACAGATTGCGAGTAGCTCTTGCGACTCGGGTCGAGCGATCGTCCAGGCAGAGGGAGGGGAGAGGAAGCGATCACAGTTACGGCAGAATGAGACGGAGGCTTGCTTCGGGATCCCCTCTGTGATATCGACGCTGTTGCGCAGGCATGCGACGCAGAGATTTGCGGAGTTGGGGACGATGGGAGTACCGCAGTCGGCGCAGAGGACGCGGTGTACGGCTGGTGCGGGGACAAACTCCATCCTGAGATGAGCTGCTAGCAAGTGGAATGGCGTTAGTTATCAGACGCACAGCGGTGGAAAGAGCGGTCAGGAATGGCATAGGCGTGAGTTTGAAGACGCACTTTGTATCTCGCACCTGTGAAGCTCTGAACATGGAGCGTAAGCATAACCTGATCGACAGCGACAAGGCAGACTAAAAGAGCTTTCAAAACGAACAGCTACATCTCCGGGACAACTGCAGATCTCCAAACCATGGCCCGGTACCAAACCCGACCACCAATCGCATAGGATGCTTACTCACCGCTTTCCTCAGCTCTGTCTGTCCGTTGAGCAATATAAAGGTAATAATCCCCCGTAGTTCTGTCACAGAGCGAGAGCTAGACAAGCCAGGGGAAGGAGGAGGAGGAGGAGGATGGCAGAAAAAGGCGGGAGCTGGAGGAGTCTGCATGAGTAAGATCCCCGGAGCCGATCGATCGTATACACAGGCGCCCGTGACTAATCGCGTCGATGCCGACAAGTCGTCCTCCGAGTCCCTCTGCCTTTCGTTCGCCGTATCGCTTTCCGTCCTCTGCTGAAAGTCCTTTACTCTCATCTACTAGTGCAGCTTGCGGATTGTTGTGGTGTCGAGCGGTAATGGCGCGCGAACGCGAGCCTGTCGGTAGCGTCACGGTGTCGAGGGCACTACTATACAGCCCGCCGGCGAGTTACAACTACTCTCTCGTTCGTCGGCCTTGAATAAATGAAGAGCCTTCGGTTCCGAGTCTTTTGGTGCGATGTAATTGAACTTTCACAGGAGCATACCTCACCGAGCTTGACGAGGCGCGGATCGCAGGTTGGCTCCGTGCTGTGTGCAGGTTCGCCTCAGTATGTACTCTACTATCTCAGGCCGGCATGGACAACACTCATTTATCTCTCTGCACCCAGTTTGGATACACTCGGTCTATCCCCGGTTTCTGGGTACCTGGCTATTCTATAATATTTGCCTATCGAGCTACACCGTGACTAGCAAGAAGCGGTACGCAAAGTGTGCTCGGATGCAAGACTATAGCTCGTTTAAACTGTTCAGCCGACGAAGATTCTATCGCTATTCTGGACTACACTTTCAGCCTGAGAAGAGCGACATGGAGAATCGTAGTGACCGTGGTCTCCGTCGCTTGCGCGAGGTACGTTTCCTAGGCTCTCGTTACTAGCGAATGTTGGATCTCCGATGATTACAAGACAGTTGGGATCCCAGTTCGTGGGCGGTGCCGATGAGCCACTTGAAGGTGTCTGGGGAAGCCGTGGGCAGTCTGCTCGCCCACCGCGTTTGTGGATCGTTGGAGCTCGAGCTATCCTTAGGTCAGCCCAATATGAATCGATGTTGAGTGGACATGAAGGACTTACCTACCACCAAGTCGAACATGCTGTTGACATCCTTTTTTGAGCGTCGCACGTTGTACATGCGGATGCAGACCACGATCATGACGACCAACAGGAAACCGATGAGGACACCGATAATCAGTGCTGCGGTTCTCAGCGGGTGGCCGCTAAAAAATGAGGTGGGCCGCTCAGTCGGGAATGATGTGTCCGCGGTGGTCTGTGCGGGTACTTCAACGTCGCTGTGTTCGAGGGCGAGGCATTTCTGGGGGAGATACGGGTAATCACCGCTGCTACTACAATCTGTCGTAGGTGAGACGGCACTTGAGATAGCGGAGGCAGCGGAGGTGAACGCAGAAGCGGAGACAGTACTGAGCAGCATGCTCTGTCCGCTTCCCAGAGGGTTTGCTGAATGGCATCCGGGAGGGCCTCATATTAATATTTCAGGGTATTTTTCGGGGTATTTCTTCAACATCCCGCCGATCCAAGCGCTGGTATAGTGCGTATAGTAATGCTGTCCTCATCTCACTTGATAGTACAGCACCCTCACTCTCTCTGTGTATAGCCACTTATACGCACCGCTTCCTTTGGAGGTATCCAGGATCCGACCAGCTATTGTGTCCGTTGCGATTTCGCATGTCTACATATACCTGGATTCTGAATCCAACCACGTAGTCCGTATGGGATGATCAAATCCGAGCCCCTAGGTAAGTTAATCGCTCCTTGGCTGTTTTCGCAGAGTAGAGTAGCTGACAGAGTTGGCCGCCGCTGCACAGCACCTAGTACGCGCGTCCATCAACTCAATACGCTTATACTGGGTGTAGCTATGATGTCCATCATTCGTGACCGCTGACTGGTACGTTCGCATCACTGAATGAGCTCCGTTCCTCAGGCTGTTCCCCAGAGGACCAGTCTTCGAGTTGTGCATTGATGGTGGCCAAGTCGGAACAACATCAGATCGAGCGTCTCGCCCTCAAATTGTACGCTGAACGAGAAATGAGATGTCCACCGCAAGGTCGATGCGATCTCTGCTCGTGATTGTTTCATGGTCTCTCACGTACGTCCCTTGTCATTGACGCACCATAGCTGACGTCGCCACCGGATGCAGGGTACATGGTCTACTCCATTGTCGACGAAAAGAGCATCCATTAGCATGTATAGTGCTCCACATGCAATATATCTGTCGGGACGACCGACGCAAGCTGCTCATCCTTCGCGAGTTCTACAGCGTCGTGCCAGCATCTTCTGTCCTTACCGTTGCCACCGTTGCCGTCGGCCCGTCGCCCTTGGAATCATCTATATCTCCTCATTGGGATGTCTGAATTCACGCAGTCTACTTGTCCGACAACACACGAGATCGCCATCTTGGTCCCTGTGATCATCCTGAGCCCGTTGGTCACGGTGGCGTTAGTACTTGCTGTCATAGCCTACTTCAGGTGCCGGGAACGGCGCAAGCATCGGCCAAAACTGACAAATCTATGCGACGGTGAGCCATCTGTTTCGAGGGTTGACATGGAATGCGCGATTCACCAGTGTCATTTGGTAGTCGAACAACGACTATCCAAGTATATTCACAGTGACGGACCTGCGAGTCGGAGTGTCACGCCGTTCCAGCAGTTTGAGGCACCTTCCGCCGAATCACAGTCGCCAAAGAGCCCCTACCTCGCACGCTGGGACTCCGAGAGGCACGACGTCGAAAGGCCCGGTCCACAGAGTATCAGCTTGACGGCACCGTCTGTCCCGGACTCAAACACTGGCACTTCGCTTCGACAGAGCTCGGAGTACACTGCTCAGGCTGTTCGGGCGGAGTCGTCGAGACCGCCCTCGTACTCTACTACGGCACCAGTCACACCCACAAGCTGCAACAGCTACACCGTAAGTGACCTTGCGCATCAAGAGGTCACGGAACATGTTGCGACGTTCGACTCTCCGCAGCTTTCTGCGTTCCATCGCCAAGAATGTCGTTGTGGGAGGAGCCTGTTGATCATCTCGACTACGGCCCGCGGCCTCCGCCACCAGCGTTCCACGAGCCTCTTCTTCAGCCGTCACATTCAACAAGGATATATTGAATGGGTACGTGAGGCCGCAATCCGGTGACAAACCCTACACTCACTGATGTGGGATAACGTAAAGGTGACTACAGCTGCGGGACTCCGACCCAACCTCACGTTCACCGAATTGTAGTGGCATATCTCGCGACGGTGCCGCGGCGGCGGCCATAATGTATACTGGACTAGACTTACGATAATGTCCTGGATGATGCAAACAACAGACTTTTACAGGGGTCGGTACTAGCAGAGGGAGGCTGCTACACGTACGTGCGCTTGAACGGGGCCGTGCCGGTTCACCATCCAACTTCAACACTACTGCGCATATGATATATCGACGGTAACGACACCTGCTAACTTAGTACCAAACGTCAGTGTCAGTATAGTTTTATATACGTTACTAGTTCGTCTGAACTGCCAGTGCGCTGCGAGCAACGCGGCAACTTAAACGATTACCGCCTTTTAGCTTGTTAGCTATTGCTGCATCCGAGGAGTCGTTACAGGCCCAGGCGTTTCGAATGCGAAGGTGAGGTGGATCAATCATAGATGGTGCGCGAATCCTGTTCCTACGTACACAATTAATTCCGGCCAGTCACAGACGTCGCCACGATTCTGGGAACACTATTCAGTCCGATGTAAGACTTGAAGTAGTATCATAAAAATGCATACAATTATACCACGACGAGGTCGTCACCAGGGTAGTTCCACTCAAATCCTGTCCGCCATCCACATGCCGTGGTCTTACTTGATCTCCTCACCTGGACGGGCATAACCCGGATGCTTGACCTGAATCATGTTCATACGATCGGGGTATCTAGCAGGTAATTTCTCCCCCGCCCAGTCCCAGTCGACGACTCGGAGTAGCACGGCCGGCTCAGTCTTCGCCGCAGTGTCATTGCGCACGAGCACGTTCACGTCGCCATGTACATAACCACGCGTGGTGAGCCCTACGGCGCGCGATTGCAACCCCTCCTCCTCCTCCTCGTGCTCGTGAAGGCTTCTGAGCCCGTCCCGCACCTTCGCCCGGACAGCGGCCACCGCTGGTCCATTTCTGCTTATTACCAACACTCGGCGATTTCACAGTCACGCTCTTGAAAAACACTAAGTAGTAGTACTGTTTCTGTCATGCGCAACACGACATAAGTATGCCCCGGTACCACTGTATTGCCATGTACACAAGAAGTACTATACTCGCACAACCAACGTACAACATGAGCAATGAAATCCTCGCGAAGAGGAACGTTGAACAAAAAATTGAGTCGCAGCAGACAAGGAGTAGTCTGAATCGAGTTGCACATCGACACGAAGCCGAGCAAGTGTGCGCCGCGAAGTGCACTGAAGGACACAACACCATCTGTCTGACAGCATGAAGCTGTCCATGACTCCGTCTCCCCTCGTACGTCGTGATCCTACAGAAGCCGCAAGGCTGTGATCACAGCAAGGTTGGATTTTGCATGCTATACAACATGCACGACAGAGCACCATCCCCGCCCATATGCATACGTCAAGGATTGGTGAACGCCATAAACCAACCTCTGCTCAACCGAATGACTCGGTCAACGCACGGCAGCTTCCGCCCAGATATCAACGCATGGTCACGACCAAAGCGGATTGTCTGGGGTGGTGCAGGGTGTCGTCATCGTCCAGCTGCGCTCTCGCGCGAGCTGACACTCTTTGGTCTGGAGTGAAACAGAGGCCTTTCACGGCGCTCCATGCATTCGTAGCTCTGACGCGACGTATGTAGAACCACCAGTTACAGTCATGACTTCACTGGCGGCGCGTTCACAATCAGATCCGATGACTTAACACTTCTTGTGCCAGGCCCATACACAGCACGAGGCGATGAATGCCAAGTGCCGACACCTTGGCCAGAGGCCACACTGACAACGCGGGCGCCACCGTCGCGCCGTACATGAGCCTTCAGCCCCGTAGGGCCGCCCCTGAGGGGATGACACCCATACACCTAGGACACAAATACCCATCAAGGGTATTCCATCATGAAGACGGGGCAACGCCGATAGGGAGAACATGGAGGAATCATGTGAACAGATGATAAAAGTGCCCGTACCTGCAACATATCCCAAGTCGACACTGCGAGCGTAGAAGGGAGCTCGCCCTTGCAAAGCCTCCGGGCAATCCCGTGAGTCCCGCCTCGCGGTCGGCGCGTTTCTGGTGTGTTGGTGGACGCTTAGCGTCGCGGGCCAGCTAGGCAGCGTTCTGGGTCAGAGAAGGCGGAAGGACGTGGCTCAGACCTTAGCCCGCTCGCAAGAGAAGACGATGAGTCCTGTACGTGGCGAGCGTCGCGGCTTCGAGTCTGCTGCGAGAGATGGTCGTCGAGGGTGAGCAAAGTGGGGAGGGGCAACGCCCGCAAGGGCGAATCTGTTTGTTCGTGTTTGGAATTAGTGGCATTGGTCGCGAGAGTGGTAGAAGCACTGTATCACAAACATGAGCTCCCTCAGATGCTTTGGTGTCCGCGGATGCAACGGGATTGAGAGCCATGAGGCCATAGAAGGTTTTGTTAGGTTACATGGACGAGAATTCCGATTTAATGAGTGTGGCTCATGTGTGTTTCCTCAATCATGGAGTGAAAGACAAATATCCACACAATGAAACCACTAATGAAACACTCATACGTACTCTCGCAATATATTTGTCACCAATGACCAGGCATGAATGCCTTTGCTTCAGGTTAGATACACGGTATACTGATAGGCACGAAGACGCGCGAGATGTCTCCGCCACAAACGCGTCGTACGGTCACGTGAGCAACAACAACGCGGTTACCCGTTCATCTCCATGCGCGTAACAATGTCCGTTCTCTCTCAAACATATCTCCTTTCGATAGGTGAGTTGAGGTATAAATGTACCATGGTCCCTGAATTTAATCGGGAGTTTCCTAGATTTATTCTGCGCTTAATTCGTGCCCTGAAGTTCAGCTACAGCATAATACACCAATAATCATCCTCAGAGACGCATACATCATTAGCACGAGTATGGTGGCCAAAGGAACATATAAATCATGTACTAGACCGAGGCGGAAGGGACGCTCTTCAGCACAGAAGGCAGCTGCAGCCAAGGGAGCTCTGGCTAGTAGAGCTCAGTATCATGGAGACTCAGACTCAGACTCGGCACTGGCGAGAGAGAACATACCTGTAATGGGTCCACAGTCATCTGGGATGGCTATTTTTTCGGAGTGGAGTGTCAGTGATATAGGTTACTTCCTTGCCAAGTGACAAACAAAACTCACTGTCATGTAGAAAGCTGAGATGGAGGACTTGCCGGCGCATGATGGGACTCAGCACTGGCATAAGCTTGCCGAATCGAGGAGACAACTGCACAACAGTCAGCGACGAGAAGCACGTATGAAGAAACGAATGAATGTACTCAAGGACAAGCTTCGAGTCAAGACAAATCTTCATGCATCTGTTGAGAAGCACAACACCGAGTTAGAGGGCAAGATCGTGCATCTTCAGCAGGAGGGGCACGAACTTCGCACGACCCTGGTCGGAACACGCAGCGCAATGGTCGATAAGCTACGTGGTTGTCAAAATACTATTCGAAAGCTTCGCAAACGCAGCGAGCGTGCACCCCGTGTTCTCGCGAACGCGATTGAGAGGGCGAAGTCACGGCCAGCGATCTTTCATTTGAAGCGGAAGGGTGTTTACACGCCAGCCGCGCGGTCGCTTGCGCGCATGTTGGTGCGAGGTGGATGTTCACAGAAGAAGGTCGGAGACGCCATGCAAGGCGTTGCGGGAGCGTTAGATGTTCGACGACACCTGTCACGAACATATTCGCCGCGAAGCACGTACCTTCGACAGCAGTGGCCACGAGGCCGAGCGCCGCAGACGTCAAGTCGAGCACGATCTGGCAACTGCTCAGCAGAGATCAGCAGAGGCCGCGGAGAAGAAGCGCAAGGAAAATGAACGGGAGGCCAAGCTGCGTGCAGTCAAGTTCGTAGTTGACGAGGAGGGCCTGGCGAAATTACGCAGACCTGACATTGATCAGCAGCTTCAAGTCTATCGGCTCGACGATAAGGAGACCCCCGCACCTTCGTCTTTGCACAAGAAAAAGGTCAAAAAGCCCGAGGCATTACTAGAGCTGAGGAAGGCGATTGCGCGTGCAGAGGCCCGCCGTACACTGGCTCTTTCGAATACTGCTACATCTGAGTCAGACAGCATTACAGCGAGTTTGACACAACGAGCAGGGGAATCCCACATAGACTATGATAATGACTCGGACCTAGATTGTTAGACTATAACATACATTTTAGTATAACGTACTCGTAATTTACTCTGGATAGATGTCTTGCCTGTAGAGCTTGAACGCGATCAGTGCGATGTATACGCCACACCAGCGCCACACGATTGAGGTCTGACCAAGTTTGCAGTGGCGCGTCGCTGACTAAGCGGCCACGGGCGTCGCAGGGCTTGCCCCTCCCCAAGCAAAGCCGCTGCCAGCACGTCTCGGAATAAATGTGTTGGTGCGTGGGAATCTGATGTCGCCCTCACGTGAGCAGCGCGACGCGGTCAGCGCTGACCCTGTCGATTCGAGCGAACACTGCTTGCCTCTGCCTGCCATCCTTCTTCCCAGCGCATCTGCGCCCGCTCACATAGATATGCTTCCCGAAGGCTGGTGTGACGGCGAACCTTATACCTTGAGTTTGATCTAGCATGCTCTGCCAACTACCGCCAGCGAGCAGAACCGACGCCGTGACACCGCCCACGACCGTCCTTCACAACTTCTTTGCCATCGTAGTTGACTGGACTGGAATAAACGGTAAGGAGCCACCGGCCCACAGTCTTTGCATCCTACCACGCACACATGTGCTCTGAAGAGCAGACTTAGTAGTCACTCGCAGTGGTCGTTTGTCACGTCCGTGAAGACTTCGTGCGCGTCTGGCGAGTCATGCTTTGCCTCTAACGACTAGATATACTCACACGGTTGATGCAAACTTTCTCCAACTGTATCCACGCGTTCGAAGGAGGCGGCTATAACCGTTTGTCCGTCCCAAGGCGTTTATCGACCTTGTATATTAAGTCCCGGTTCCTCAGCGGGCTCCTTGCCAATGCCTTCGCTGGCTTCAGTACCCTGCCAACAGGATGGCTGCCGCTGTACTTCTGATCCTATCCCTATGCACCTTCTTGCTCTATAGACTGTTCCGTAGTCGCGAGGTGTCTCTTCCTCCGTGTTGAAGTGAAAGAGGTTTAGAAGGGCTTGTTAGGCCAGTGGAAGTGAAGGACAGTAGAGTGGAGTGAACAGACCTATCCCAGAGGGAAGACTCTGATGCTAGGCAGGCAGAAGAGAGGAGAGATCGTTATC